CTGTGATGAACCCAGACTCATTCAGAATTAGGTCATCCAAGTTTGGAGGATGAGCAGGTGCATTGTCCATTACTAGGAGGCACTTGAGATCCAATTTCTTTTCCAGGAGGTAATTCTTCACACTAGGGCCAAACACTTTAATGAACCACTCAGCAAAAATGTCCCTTGTGACCCATGCCTTATTATTAGATCTCCAAAACACGCACAATTTACTCTTCATAACATTGTTTTTCTTGAACACACTGGGATTTTTCAGAATGGTACACTAGTAACGGCTTCACTTTGAAATCCCCACTAGCATTAGCACAGAACATGAGCATCAGCCTGTCTTTCATGGGCTTGTGTCCTGGCAGTGCCTTTTCTTCCTGTGTAATGTAGATCCTCATTGGCATTTTCTTCCAAAAGAGGCCTGTTTTGTCATAATTGAACACTTGTTCAGGTTTCAGTCCTTCAGCCTCTATGTACTCCTGGAATTCCTGCACATATTTTTTAGCCGCTTTTTGGTCCGAACTGGCAGCCTCGCCATGCCTTATCACACTGTGTATGCCAGTACGCTTCTTAAATCTCTCAAACCAGCCTTTGCTGGCCTTAAATTCACTCGCATCACAACTAGTTGCAGGCAGTTTCTTTACCAAATCGTCATGCAACTTCCTAGTCTTTTCACAAATAAGTGACGTCATAAGACTATCTACTGCTAATTGTTTTTCGTTTATCCACACCAATAATAACTTCTCGACATCTTCGAGTACTGGTGATCTCAGTTTTGTCAGCATATTTACCCCCTTTGCAACAACAGCTTCCTTGATTTCCTTTTTCTTGGCTATGATGGAAGATATGGTTGTACGGGATTTGTTATACATCCTGGCCAGTTCACCCACACGTACGCCACTTTCATATTGTTCAATGATGTTTTTCTTAAATTCAGCCGTATTTCTCACCTTTACCAAAGGGTTGGCACTAGGAGTTTTCTTTGGAGCCATGGTAGCTTATTTAGCACTTACAAGCACTAAAATGAATGGAATATTATGAAATATTTTGCATGAACACGTGGTTGGACCATCACTCAATGGTAAACAATGACACACTGGCTGTGAAGGGAGGACGATGCGGCTCAGAGCCATGAGTATGCGTCCAGGACAAAAAACGATCAGTGAGTTAACGGCCATTTGCGAGCCAATGTTTAGACGAAATAACGGGACTATTTCCGAAATGGATGACTTTCCGGCCGGACAATTATTGAGGGATCACTGTATTTATAGATGGGGTTGTAAGAGAAGTAAATGCGAGGGTCTTGGCAAGAGGCGTGGAGTTAAAAGATAAAGAATCACACATAAAGTGGGAGTTGTCACAGTTGCTCTTTGCTGATGACACTGTGCTCTTGGGAGATTCTGAAGAGAAGTTGCAGAGATTGGTGGATGAATTTGGTAGGATATGTAAAAGAAGAAAATTAAAAGTGAATACAGGAAAGAGTAAGGTTATGAGGATAAGATTAGGTGATGAAAGATTGGATATCAGATTGGAGGGAGAGAGTTTGGAGGAGGTGAATGTATTCAGAAATTTTCGAGTGGACGTGTCAGCGGATGGGTCTATGAAAGATGAGGTGAATCATAGAACTGATGAGGGGAAAAGGGTGAGCGGTGCACTTTGGAGTCTGTGGAGACAAAGAACTTTGTCCTTGGAGGCAAAGAGGGGAATGTATGAGAGTATAGTTTTACCAATGCTCTTATATGGGTGTGAAGAATGGGTGATGAATGTTGCAGCGAGGAGAAGGCTGGAGGCAGTGGAGATGTCATGTCTGAGGGCAATGTGTGGTGTGAATATAATGCAGAGAATTCGTAGTTTGGAAGTTAGGAGGATGTGCGGGATTACCAACACTGTTGTCCAGAGGGCTGAGGAAGGGTTGTTGAGGTGGTTTGGACATGTAGAGAGAATGGAGCAAAACAGAATGACTTCAAGAGTGTATCAGTCTGTAGTGGAAGGAAGGCGGGGTAGGGGTCGGCCTAGGAAAGGTTGGAGGGAGGGGGTAAAGGAGGTTTTGTGTGTGAGGGGCTTGGACTTCCAGCGGGCATGCGTTAGCATGTTTGATAGGAGTGAATGGAGACAAATGGTTTTTAATACTTGACGTGCTGTTGGAGTGTGAGCAAAGTAACATTTATGAAGGGATTCAGGGAAACCGGCAGGCCGGACTTGAATCCTGGAGATGGGAAGTACAGTGCCTGCACTCTGAAGGAGGGGTGTTAATGTTGCAGTTTAAAAAACTGTAGTGTAAAGCACCCTTCTGGCAAGACAGTGATGGAGTGAATGATGGTGAAAGTTTTTCTTTTTCGGGCCACCCTGCCTTGGTGGGAATCGGCCAGTGTGCTAAAAAAAAAAAAAAAATAAGTCAATGGGTGAGTGAGTGTTAGTGTGAACCACCAGGTGGTTTGCATGTAGTTAGTTGACGTGGTGTATCAGGTTTGTTACACAGGATTTCCCGTCCCTGAAACCTTACTGGCTGTCGTTGATGAGCTCATTCTTTTGAGGTGCTCCACCACTCGTCTAATTTTCTTCATTACCTTACATACTCAACACGTCAGTGACACTGGTCTGTAGTTTAATGCTTTGTGTCTGTCTCCTTTTAAAAAAATTGGGACTTCATTTGCTGTCTTCCATACTTCTGGTAGTTGTCCTGTTTTGATAGATATGTTGAAGATAGTTTAGTGGTACACAAAGTGCCTCTGCTCTTTCTCTCAGGACCCATGGAAAGATGTTATCCAGCCCTATCACCTTTAAGGTATCTAGCTCCCTTAACAGCCTCATCACTTCTTCCTCGGTTGTATGGATTGTGTCCAACACTTGGGGTGTGTGCGCATGTGCATGTGCGCATGTGTGCATGTGTGTGCATGCATGCATGTAGTATGTATGTGTGTACAGTGGTCCCTTGAGTTACGATGGGCTTGAGTTGTGGTAATTATCAATTATGACTTTCATATAAAAATTTAGTTTCAAGTTCTGATGAAAAACTTGGCAGATGGTTAGCAGATGTGAGTGGTCCTCAGCCCAAAGACAAGACAGTGATGAAAAGGTCTTAAATGGAGTGATGAAGGGTTTGTTGGAGGTTAGTGGGAAGGGTGGTGGGAGGCAGTGAGGGTGGGTGGATGGGAGATGGTACATGTACCAGATGTAGATTGGGGGGAGACCTTGGCAACGAGTGTAGATTCTTTTCCACTTCTTTACCAAGTAATGAAATATTGGATTTCAGATTGGAGGGAGAGAATATGGAAGAGGTGAATGTATTCAGATATTTGGGAGTGGATGTGTCAGCAGATGGGTCTGTGAAAGTTGAGGTGAATCATAGAATTGATGAGGGGGTAAAAGGTGAGTGGTGCACTGAGGATTCTGTGGAGACAAAGAACTTTATCCATGGAAGCAAAGAGGGAAATGTATGAGAGTATAATTATACCAATACTCATATATGGGTGTGAAGCACGGGCAGTGAATGTTGCAACAAGAAGGCTGAAGGCAGTGGAGATAGTCATGTCTGAGGGCAATGTGTGGTGTGAATGTAATGCAACAAATCGTTAATTTGGAGATTTGGAGGTGTGGAATTACCAAAATTATTATCCAGAGTGCTGAGGAGGAATTATTGAGGTGGTTTGGACATGTAAAGAGAATGGAACAATATAGAATGACTTTGAGAGTGTATAAATCTGTAGTGGAGGGAAGGTGGGGTAGGGGTCGGCCTAGGAAATGTTGAAAGGAGGGGGGTAAAGAAGGTTTGATGTGCGAGGGGCTTGGACTTCCAGCAAGTATGCGTGAGCATGTTAGATAGGAGCATATGGAATCAAATGGTTTTAAGGACTTGACGTGCTGTTGGAGTGTGAGAAAAGTAACATTTATGAAGGGATTCAGAGAAACTGGCAGGCCGGATTTATGTCCTGGAGATGGAAAGTACAGTGTCTACACTCTGAAGGAGGGGTGTTAATGTTGTAGTTGTATAACTGTAGTGTCAGCACACCTCTGGCAAGACAGTAATGGAGTGAATGGTGATGATGAAAATTTTATTTTTTCATGCCACCCTGCCTTGGTGGGTAACTGTCGATGTTTTAAAATAAAATAAAATTCTTTACCAATCTGCCTGCCTGCTCTTCCCTAACTGCACTGTCTTGCTTTGTCTGCTGTGGTCTGCCTGCCTGTCTTATAGGGAATGATGGTGGAAGGTATGTTTTGAGTGAGAGGGGAAGAGTGGGTGGGAGTGAAGGAGGGTGGAAGGTGTATTGGGAGTGAGAGGGGAAGAGTGGGTTGGAGTGAGGTAGGGTGGAAGGGAGACTGTACATGTACCAGACATGTATGGTTTGAGACTGTGACAAGAAGATTGTAAATATTTAGACTACAATTCTTTACCAATCTGCCTGTCTGAGTGCCTACCCTGCCTGCCTGCTCTGCCTTCTCAGCTCTGTCCTGTCTACCCTGCCACTTTGCCTGGGCTATGACAGATAGGCATACTCTGTTCCTGGGTGCCAGTGGCTCTGGATATTTTAAGTTGCAGCCTATTCTTGTTAATCACTCAGAAAACACCAGTGTGTTTAAATAACAAAGTATCCAAGAGTTATTTGGTTGTTTTGGCATCTTAGAACAAATTACCATAAAACCATTTTTTGTGGTTTTGAATTATTATAGTTTTGAGGTAAAATATATCTACTAGAACGAATTAATATTGAAACTCGAGGGAACTCTGTATGTATTTATGTAAGTATTCATTAATTTTTTATTTATCCATTCATTCATTCCTTTGATGATGGTTCTGTGGAAGATGATTGCAGTATATAAATTTTGTGGCCATTTTGGTGATTGAAATATGTTACTGCTAGTGGCTTTCTTTGTACCTAACAAATTATAAAATGTAATCACACATTTTAATCTTTGCAAAAAAATAAATCTGTCTTTTTCTTTATAAGGGATTTTTTCATGTTTGATGTGCAGTTCTGTAATTCTTCAATTTATATAAAACAAATTTGCAGGTGTGTAATATGGAGAACATCGATCCTTTAGGGATCCACACAGGTGAGAGTTTTGTTGTTGCTCCATCTCAGACCTTGACAAACAGGGAGTACAACCTGCTCCGCACCACTGCCATATCTGTTGTAAGACGTCTGGGTGTGGTGGGTGAGTGCAACATTCAGTATGCTCTTAACCCAGCTTCAGAGGAGTATTATATAATTGAGGTGAGTAAGAGATCAATTATGTGAAATCATTACTGCATAATGTTATACTAGATCTACAGGGTTAAGTAATTTGCAAAGATATGATTGAATCATAATGTTAATAAAAGTCATTTAAGATCATTAATTATCTTGTTTTTTGAAAGGTGAATGCCCGTCTGTCCCGTTCGTCTGCTTTGGCATCCAAAGCCACTGGTTACCCTCTAGCCTATGTAGCAGCTAAACTTGCCCTGGGAAAGGCTCTTCCTGATCTTACAAATTCTGTAACTGGTTCAACAACTGCCTGCTTTGAGCCATCCTTGGATTACTGTGTTGTCAAGGTTCCTCGCTGGGACCTCTCAAAGTTTAACAGGGTCTCAACAAAGGTAAAAAAAAATCTCTAATACACCTACCATCCGACTTACGACCTGCTCAACTTACGACCACTCGACTTACGACCATGTTTTTTTTTTTGCCAATTTTCTTGGAAATCAACTATTTGTGTTGTACACAGTGTTTATCCTAAACCTTACGGTATAAAATACAGTACTAACAGCATAAAAAGTAAAGTAAATCATTAAATACCAAAATAAAACAATAAAATAGTCATTACAAAAATGTGATATTGATATTCAGTAGTAAAGTTCGACTTACGTCCATTACGACTGGTTTCTCGGAACCGAACTCGGTCGTAAGTCGGATGGTAGGTGTATTTGAGGACTAATTATAAAGCAGAGAATGTAGTATCTTTGAATGAAAAATTCTGACTACACGTATCTTTTCATTTATCTTTGTTAACCCTTTGACTGTTTCGGTCATATATGTACGTCTTACGAGCCAATGTGTTTGACGTATTAATACGCCAAATTTCTAGTGGCTTCAAATCGAGCAGGAGAAAGCTTGTAGGCACATGTGAGAGAATGGGTCTCCATGGTCAATGTTGAGTACCATAAAAAACTCAGGGAGCCAGTGGTGCATCGTGGGAATGCCATTTCAGTAGTCCTTGTTCAGCATGCCTAGTGGTAAGAAATATGGGACTCTACTCTTCCCAAGTGATGCTCTAACACAGATGGAAGTGTCAGTGAAGATGAATTTCATGGTTTTTGAGGAATTTGTGACCAAAAGCAATGCCCAGGATACCAGAAGAAGGAAAGAGAAAGAGGGAAAGAGAGAGAGGGACACATCTGTCAGAACTGGTAGAGGATGGGGCAGAGGACGTGGAGGAGGAAGACATCTACAGTTGTCTCACCCTCCACTAACACAGTTCCAGCGGCAGAACCTGAGGACAAATCTGCAAAACACAGGAGGTGCAACAAATCATAGTCCACCCTCCCAGGCACCTAGGCTGTGCTCTCGCTGTCACCAGAAGGGGCACACTGCCAGCAACTGCCTGCAAGATACCAGGTGTAATTACTGCTACAAGAAAGGACATCAGGAGGACCAGTGTCGGAAGAAAAAGGAACTTGATAGACAGGACCACCTGTTTAGAGACCTCTTCTCAGAACAAACCAGCAGGATCTCTGAATTGGTGAACACACTCACACGTCACCCACTCAGCTACTCCTATCCCAGCCCAGCAGGTGGTATTGTGCCTTATACAAGACCACAGACCTAAATCCCTGCAGCTGCCTCAGTACCCTACCTCTCACCCTACACACCCACCACCTCAAGCTGACCACATCATGAGGAGCCAGTCTAACAGCATCCTGTCTGCCAACATTAGAGGTTTCATTACTAATGTTGGAGAACTCTCACACAGTTTTGTGAACACTCAACGTCCCTACATGATAGCTGTTGTTGAAACATTTTTGGATGACAGGACTCTAGAAAATTTTGCAAGAATTGCTGGCTACACCTCATGGATGAGAAGAGACAGGCAGGGGCAAGGAGGAGGTGTTGCTGTGTGCTTCTCTAAAAGTGTTCATGCCCAGCACATTGATGTTGCCACCCCTACACATCTTGAAATGTTCAAGCTCTGCATAAACACCAGTACCTCTGTACTAGCATGTGCAATGTACAGACCTCAGTGGCAACATGCAGATCCCATCAACTTCCTAATGGAAAATATTGACTCCCTTCTGCTACAACACAACTGTCAACATATCATAATTGTTGGTGACCTCAACCAGCACCTTATACAGAGGGACTTTGATGACCTTCTTGCAGTGTTTGACATGAGAAACTGTGTTGATTTCCCTACTCACATCTCTGGCTCCTCAATTGACCCAGTACTGAGTGATCTGGCAGAAGGCATAGTCACTTGTCAACCCCTCGGCTATGTTGGATCGTCTGACCACAAGGCTGTTTTTACAACACTTTAGATCCCAACAGAACGAGGTGAGGAGTCCACATGCACAATCTGGCTATGGGAAAGAGGTAATTGGCCAGCCCTTCGCTCTGAGCTCGCCACCACCGATTGGAATGCTCTTCTCCAAGGGGATGTTGACAACCAAGTGAAAGCCTTCACTGGACACATCCTTAATCTACAACAAGAACACATTCCTCACCGGCAGTATGTGACGAAGCTTACAGATCAGCCTTGGTTTGGCTTTCATTGTAGAGAGGCTGCTACTGCTAAGTACAAAGCATGGCAAAGGTATAAGAGACATCCTACCACCTATAACAGGAACTTGAACAGGCAAGCCTGTAGACACATGGGTGACGTTCAAAAGTGGGCCATTGCTAAATGGGAGGTGGACACTAAAAGAAAGCTAGCATCAGGTGGGGTAGGCTCCAAAACCTGGTGGTCCCTGGTCAAGGACAGACAAGATTATCTGCCTGATGAACCCATTCCACCTCTAAATCGACAGGATGGGTTCCACCTCTACTAGTAGTCAAGAGAAGGCGGACCTCTTTGCTGAACACTTTGCTACCAAAATGCAAGTTCCTGATCCAGCAAGGGACCCTCCTTTGCTAGCTGCAAGAACTGTGTCAAAACTGTCAGTGGTGACAATAAGGCAGGAGAGATGCATTTCCTTCTTAAATCGCTTGACCAAGAAAAGGCTGTGGGCCCCCAAAAATTTACCCAAATTGTTTTAGAAGATGTGCAGACCCCTACAGCACCTCAACTCGCTCTTTCAGCACTGCCCAGTACAGTGCAAATGGCCCCTCCATGGAAAGAGGCCAAATGTGTCCCTGTTCAAAAAAGAAGAGCAGAGCAGAAATCACAACTACGACCAGGTCACTCCGTCAACACGTAAAATCCTAGACAAAAATCTCAAAAACAAAGACAATTTCTTTGACTACCACCACTACTTTGTGACCAATATGGGTTTGGAAAGGTTTCTCTGCTGCTGATCTTTGTTAAACCTCTCCACAAAGGGGGGCCCCGTCACGGGTGAATCCAAAACACGTGTGGGCACTGGACTTGCTGGCCTTTCGACCGGGTGTGGCACCAGGGGCCCCTTTGCAAAACTCAAGCACGGGAATTTTCAGGGTCTACGCTATGTCTCCTCGTGATTACCTTCATGGGGAGATCTCAATGTAGTTCTCAAAGGAACGGGAAACAGCAAGACATCCTATTGGGGGAAGCGTTCCACAAGGAAAAGGGGCTGGGTCCACGTTAGGAATGTCTACTTCAACACCTTCTTTATCCATCCCCGAATCACTGCTATGCAGACGACTGTACACTAACAAAATTTACTTTTCCAAGAGAAAATGCCAGCTGCTCTAACACATCAATTACCACTGAGAGCTATATACTTGGGGGAAATAGATGGAAGTAACATTTTCACCTGAGAAACGCAAATGATGATGTCTCTAGGGCCCATGAGGTAATGCTGGTGAGAGTAAGATGAATGGGACGATGTTGGGACTGGAGAAAAAAGTTGATATCCTTTGGGGGGAAAAATTTGACTCCAAATAACCATGAAAGAACCAGGGTTTTAAAACTTTCAAACAAAACAGCCAGGAAGCTTTTCGCACTTTGCCGTATCTCACATCTGCTTGACAGTAGGGGTTTCAAATCCTTAAGGCCAAGTACGCTCACACCCCTTTATATGCTCCACTTTCTTGGTTTTCCTGTCCCCCCCCCTCATCTGCGACTGCTTGACAAGTAGAGAACAAGCAAGACGTCTCATCTCTCGCCTGGACCCATCCTGGGTGGATCGTCATTTCAGCGACCCTTTAAAAGGGGTGTGGGGGCCTTACTGTTTTGTACAAGGCCAATATTGTCAAAATACCAACTTGGTCCACTTCGGGACACGCGAAACAACTTTTATGCCACAAGACGGCAGAAAGCAGCAATTCACCTGGCTGTACCCCTCCAGAACATCATCCATCTGAGATCTACATCCCCGGAGACTCGATATAAAAACATTCGTACGCAAAAAGATGTCAAAAGAGATAACGTCGTTGAACAAAGGGAAAAGCTGGGCCCCCAGAGGCTCCAAATTTCCCTTTTTTTTCTTGTATGTTCATAAAAAAAAAAAATGCTTTCAAATGAGCTGATGTAGGGAACAGCTCTTAGTTGTCAAAAGTTAGGAATCCTTAACCCGAAAAAGCTTGTCAATAAACCTAGGGACCTTAACCTTGTCCAAACCATGTTAAAAAAAAAAAAAAAAAAAAAAAAAAAAAAAAAAAGAAGAGAAGAAAAGAGAGAATGGAGAGAGAATGGAAGAGAAGAGAGAGAGGGAAGAGAGAAGAGAGAATGAAAAAAGAGGAAGATGAAAAAAGAGAGAAAGAGAAAGGGGGAAAGGGGAAGAGAGAGAGGAGAGAATAAGAGAGGGAAGAGAATGAAAAAGAGAGAGGAGAGAGAATGAAAAGGGGAGAGAGAATGAAGAGAGAAAAGAATGAAAAAATGAAGAAAAGAATGAAAAAGAGAGAGAGAGAGAAATGAAGAGGAGAGAAGAGAAGAGAGGAAATGGAAGAGAGAAGGGGAAAAAAGGAAGAGAGGAGAGAGAGAGAGAAATAAAGGAAAAGAGAGAGAGAGAGAAAAGAATAAAAAGAGAAAGAAAGAAAGTAGGGAGGAATGATGACCACCTTTTTCCCAGGATAAGTACCTAACACAACTGCCTGCTAATACTTCGAAGAAAACTGCTCAGACGAGGTGTTTTGTCTGTGCAAATACAAAATAAAAAACGCCCACAAAAACGCACACACACTCGTTTTGTGTGTGAGGAGTGTAAAACACCATTGTGCATGCACTCGTGTTTCAAAGAATTCCACAAGCTGCAGCAGTTCTAGGAAAGTGTCCAGTGATTGTACATTTGTATATATTATAGAACAATAATAATAAAAAAAATTTTATATTCATTTGTTTAAAAATGTTTTGTAAACAATATAATGATGCTAACGTTTATGCAATTATTGTTACATACGAGTGTATGTATGTACATTGCACCTTACTTTGGCCTCACAGGCCACATAAGTTGTGTGAAAAAATAAAATAGTGAAATAAACAAGAAACCTTCAAATGGGAGTAAACCAAAGTTTACCGGGTGAGCGTCATTCACCGCTGTTGCCATATGTGGCTCATTTTCTGCCAAATTTACTCCTCTATATCTCGGTAAGTACTGATCACAAAAAAAAAATTGGGGGCTTAAAACAGTCAGAAAATTAATCTTAACATTTTAAGAAAAAATAATAATTTTTTTTTTCGAATATTTTTCGACACCAGGAGACAACACTTCAGGATTCGGGGCTGCGACAGTCAAAGGATTAATAAGAGAGGCAAAGAAACTATCATTGCTTTGTCTATTACTTAAGGCTGATTGCTAAATAAAATGTTTGTATGTAATAATCAAACAGATTACAACTAATTTGCATGTGAATACTCTAATAGTGTAAATGAATAATAATTCTTGTGCATGTAGATAGGAAGCTCAATGAAGAGTGTTGGAGAGGTGATGGGGATTGGTCGCAGCTTTGAGGAAGCATTGCAGAAAGCTCTGAGGATGATGGATGAAGCATTACATGGTCTTGATCCCTATGTTAGTGAAGCAGATGAAGAGGTAAGTGAAAAATGTGCTGGGTTTGTATATTTGAGAAAAAATCAGCTCTTTTATTAAGACTTCTTAATAATTTTTTATTTTTGTAAATGTAATTAAAAAACGGCCATCCAGAATTTATAAGTGCATGGCAAGGGCTAGTACACACTGTTCAATTTTGGATATACAATAGGACCTCACTTAAATGGTTGGTTAGATTCTAGGCTACTACCAGAAAGTGGATATTGCCGGAAAGCAGAATGCCATTTTTTCCACTTCCATATGCATAAAAATGCCAGATAAGAAGTTTGCACTACCATATATTAACCCTTTCAGGTTCTGTGCCATAGATCTACAGCTTTACATTGAGGGTCCAAACTGTAGATCTATGCCAAAATTCTAGTGGCGTCAAATTTAGCGCAAGAAGGCTGGTAGGCCTACATCTGAGAGAATGGGTCTGGGTGGTCAGTGTGCGCACTGAAGAAAAAATCTAGACGCCTGCATGGCATTGTGGGAATGCCATCAAAGCAGTTTTTTTCATCATGCCTGGCGGCAAGGAAGCTCTCATTCCCCACTCACTCTCCTGGCGAATTCTGACTCTCCTCTTCACAACTTAGTTCTGAGACTGATGGAAGTGGATCTGAAGAGGAATTCTATGATTTTGAACCATATGGTACCAGTGTACCATATGGTACAATGGTGCCATGTCATACAATGGTATATGGTACAATGGTACCATATGGTACAATGTACCATACAGTACATTATCATTATTTTATTATTATCACACTGGCCGATTCCCACCAAGGCAGGGTGGCCCAAAAAAGAAAAACTTTCACCATCATTCACTCCATCACTGTCTTGCTAGAAGGGTGCTTTACACTACAGTTTTTAAACTGCAACATTAACACCCCTCCTTCAGAGTGCAGGCACTGTACTTCCCATCTCCAGGACTCAAGTCCGGCCTGCCGGTTTCCCTGAACCCCTTCATAAATGTTACTTTGCTCACATTCCAACAGCACGTCAAGTATTAAAAACCATTTGTCTCCATTCACTCCTATCAAACACACTCACGCATGCCTGCTGGAAGTCCAAGCCCCTCGCACACAAAACCTCCTTTACCCCCTCCCTCCAACCTTTCCTAGGCCGACCCCTACCTCGCCTTCCTTCCACTACAGACTGATACTCTTCAAGTCGCTCTGTTTCGCTCCATTCTCTCTACATGTCCAAACCACCTCAACAACCCTTCCTCAGCCCTCTGGACAACAGTTTTAGTAATCCCACACCTCCTCCTAACTTCCAAACTACGAATTCTCTGCATTATATTCACACCACACATTGCCCTCAGACATGACATCTCCACTGCCTCCAGCCTTCTCCTCGCTGTAACATTCATCACCCATTCTTCACACCCATATAAGAGTGTTGGTAAAACTATACTCTCATACATTCCCCTCTTTGCCTCCAAGGACAAAGTTCTTTGTCTCCACAGACTCCTAAGTGCACCACTCACCCTTTTCCCCTCATCAATTCTGTGATTCACCTTATCTTTCATAGACCCATCCTCTGACACGTCCACTCCCAAATATCTGAATACATTCACCTCCTCCATACTCTCTCCCTCCAATCTGATATCCAATCTTTCATCACCTAATCTTTTTGTTATCCTCATAACCTTACTCTTTCCTGTATTCACTTTTAATTTTCTTCTTTTGCACACCCTACTAAATTCATCCACCAATCTCTGCAACTTCTCTTCAGAATCTCCCAAGAGCACAGTGTCATCAGCAAAGAGCAACTTTGTATAGTACATTATACCATATGGTACATTGTACCATATGGTACAGGGTATGGGGACCCTAATGGAAATAAGTCTGTCTGACATTTTTTGGTTATCCTAGGTTCTCCAAACATATGCTGCTATGTATGATAATCTATGTAACTTTATGTATACCTAAATAAACTTATGGTGCCACATGTGCTTGAGTAAGTTTATTCAGGTGCACACACATACAGTTACATACATTATCATACATAGCAGCATATGTATAAAATCCTAGGATAACCCAAGAAAGTCAGGGTGACTTATTTCCATAGGGATCCCTGTATCTGTACCATATGGTCAGTTAGAGATGTTATGCCACCAGGCACCAGGCAAGACTGAGTGAGTGGCGATGCAAGCTAACTAGTGACTCGGCAGTTTCCAAGACAAAGCACTTTGTCATCCACCTCAAGGAACATGTCGAGTGGCTGTACATTACTAATATACAACATTTTTGCATATTTTTGTTGTAAACAATTATTGTAAACTAAATAATGATGAAAATATTAGTGTGTGTATTGTGTTGAATGCACACAATGTACCATATGGTACAATGAACCATATGGTATCATTGTATCATATAGTATAATATACCATATTGTACCATTGCACCATATTGTACCATTGCACCATATTGTACCATTGCACCATATTGTACCATTGCACCATATTGTACCATTGCACCATATTGTACCATTGTCACCATATTGTACCATTGTACCATATTCTACCATATGGTACCAATTTACCATATGGTACCATTGCACCAATATGGCACCATTGTACCATATAATACTATATAGTACCGTTGTATTCAACACAATAGCTGCACTAATATTTTCATAATTTTGTTTACAATAAACTTGTAAACAAGTTTTGTAAGCAATATAATGATAAACAAATTAGTGCAGTTATTGTGTTGAATACAATGAGTGAATATTTATACAATATACATTATATTGATCTCACAGACCACAAATGTTACTAGAAAAAAATTAGAAAAAAATATTAAAAACGTATAATAAAAAAAATGTGATTTTGCGGAAGTCGCTGATGTTGCCGCCACCCGGGCATTTTGGGTCAACTTCCCACCACTATCTCGGTAAGTATTGATCAGAATTTTTTTTTTTTTGTTTCATTACTTGCACAAAAATATTATCTTTGATTCTGTAATCCCACTGATACAGCTAACAAGATAAACAACTTCTCAAACATAGGATCTAATCCCGCCAGTAAAATCCCACGTACCAATGCCCGTGCCGGGGACTACCTAGATGGGAATTTCCCAAATTCCTTCTATCTTGTACCAACTGAGCCCACAGAAGTCACTGCGATCATGAAGTCACTTAAAAATAACTCGGGGAATCTGTCTCACGTCCCTCCATTATTGCACAAGTGAGCGGCCCATGTCCTTTCGCATGCTATTACATTACTTTTTAACAAGTCACTAGAAACTACACTTTCCCGACACTACTCAAGACAGCAAGGGTTACACCAATACATAAAGGTGATGACCCTACAGATGTAAACAACTATAGGCCAATATCAGACTTACCATTGCTATCCAAAATCTTTGAGAAACTCGTGCACAGGAGACTATATTCATTTATAACAGCACAAAACATACTCAACCCCTGCCAATTTAGATTCGGGAAAAATAAAACACTAATGATGCAATTATAAAAATGCTAGACCTGCTTTACACAGCATTGGAAAATAAGGAATATCCGCTAGGAATTTTTATTGACCTAAGAAAAGCGTTTTGCACAGTAGACCAAGGCATCCTACTCCACAAACTTGACCGCTATGGTATAAGAGGCCATGCGCTTGCATATTTTAAATCCTACCTTTCTATTAGGTATCAGTATGTCACCATTAAAGACACAGCCTCATCAATACAGCCACTTGATACTGGAGTTCTGCAGGGAAGTGTTTTTGGACCCCTGCTCTCCCTCATTTCCATCAATGATCTTCCAAACATATCCCAACACCTGAAACCCATTCTCTTCGTTGATGACATGACTTTGTCATCTCCCACCCTAATCTTGCCACCCTCAACACCATTGTTAACGAGGAGCTGCTCAGAATATCGACTTGGATGACAGCCAATGAACTTACACTTAACACTGGCTAAACCTACTGTATTATGTTTGGTAGCAGAGCTGGTGTTGCACAGCTTAACATTAAGATCGACAACACTCTAATTGCCAGAAATAATGAGGGCAAATTCCTTGGCCTATACCTCGACAACAACCTAAATTTCAGCTCCCATATCCAACACACAAAAAAAGTATCCAAGACAGTGGGGATCCTCTCCAAGATACGATACTACATGCCGCAAACTGCCCTTCTCACACTATACCATTCACTTATATATCCATACCTCACCTATGCTATCTGTGCTTGGGGTTCAACTGCAGCAACACACCTAAAGCCAATAATAACCCAACAAAAAGCCACTGTAAGGATAATCACTAAATCCCATCCCTGGCAACACACCCCCCCCACTCTTCATAGATCTAAACTTACTCCCTGTTCAGAACATCCACACTTACTACTGTGCAATCTATATCTACAGGACCTTAAATTCCAATATTAACCTTGACCTAAAATGCTTTCTTGATAGTTGTGACAGGATCCACAGGCATAACACCAGACACAAACATCTCTATGACATTCCCCGTGTTCGACTAAACCTTTACAAAAATTCAATGACCTAAAATCTGGAACACCCTACCTGAAAACTCTAGAACTACAGACACGTTCATCACTTTCAAAACTACAGTTAGAAAACATCTTATCTCCCTGATCCACCCCGACAACTAACTACATGATAACCACCTGGTGGTTCACAATTACTCACCCACTGACTATAAACCCAGATATACTAATCTTAATCTTAAAATAATAAATCCTAACTAGTCATAAGTTTGCCTATGATACTCCAATATAGACACCTTGTATTGTGCCAGAACAAAAGCATTCACATTCCTAAACTCACAAATTATGATGTAGTCACTTAGCCTTAATACCATAATCTGTAAGGATTTAATGTTAAGAATTAATCTAAGTCTGCTCGAAATGCCTAGCCATGCTAAGTGTCCTAGTGGCCCCCTCTGTAATTAGTATTTTATAAAAAACATGTAAACCACACATTGTAACCCTTATAGAGAATAAACTTGAATAAGATTTTTTTTTTCAA